AAGTGTCGGCCAAGGGTTTTCCTGATATGACCTCGCCGTTAAGATTCATGCTATGTACTGAACCCGTGGACACATTGCGATTTAAGAGAGAATTTAGCCTTTTCCACATTATATCTGAACACCCAGAAACTGAACTAAACATATTGTTATAATATTCTTGTTTGCCTTTTTGAGATCTTTATTTAGGCGATTTCGTTAACCTTGAATTCTTTAAACAATTTAGGGTCTTTTGTTTTAAGATAGCGGCTAAATAACATATTTTTTTCTTGTATTCTTTTCCGAAGTTCCGCGTTGATCCAGAGTTTACGAACTTTCCTGTTCTGCTTTGTTTTAACCAGAGGAAACGAAGCAGTATAAATTGGCTTTAGTATGTTCAAAAATTCTTCGTACGCCTTGTTTGGCTCATTCATTTTAAGTATATTCGTTCAAGGAGCCCTCAAAATCTTCTCCGAAAATATTTTCAGAGGTTGTTCGTTTATACGCTGGGTGAAAAATGTGTTCGGTTTGTTTTTGTCACATAAGTGTTTCCTACAACAAATGTATATTGGCAAATGATCACTCAAATCTACAGTAATAACACCAGCCTTGAGGTTTTCTGTCGGTATATTTGTTAAGAACAAATCAATCAAGGACGAAGACATTTGTGTGATTCTCGTAGGGACAGTGATCATAATTGAAAAGCAATGAGATTTCAGCAAAATATCAAGTTTTTGTACTATAGCTTCCTGTTTAAGCATATTTATGTTCATGTCACCGCCACACACAACGTCTAAGCGATTTGTGTTAGTGAACGCAAAAAACGTGTCCAGGTAATCCAGAAAGGATGCCGTTTCGCCATTTGGTGGTCTATAACAAACGGCAAGAACCACATTTTGTAGTTTAACTAATAGAAATTCGAAGTCATTGCAAGAGTGGGTGAAATTTTGAATTAGGTCACAGTCAAGGACCTTTTTCACTAGAATACATACGCCACCACCACGACCAGAAATTCGATTAAGGTAGAACGTATTAAGGTAGAACGGCTAAGGTCGGACTGTTTATTATTTACCGATTGCACATTCAAGTGAAAACATTTAAACGAGTTTGAATAGAAATTTCCTAAACTCTGCGAAAACGCTTCCGGAAGCACACAAGAATCGTTTCCTACGCAAGCCATGTTGAGCCGATCATTTCTTCTTTCTTTAGCTTAGTTTGTTTAGATCACTAGCATTTGCGATGCGTATGGCTTTCTCCCCATCAGCTTTACGCACTATAACTTTCCCGTTTGAGTGCCATGCATACTTGAAATTCGCTTCTTTAGCGCAGTTCTTTGCCTCAAACAACAGCGCACGCGCTCTTTTGGTCAGGTTTTCCGTCAAGAAGAAGTGCTCATTTAGGCTGCTCAGTTTCTTTCTGTTTTTCCACCAGAAATCTCGGTCCGCTTGCTTCGCAAAACGACAGATAACGACCGGCGTCTTATCTTTTCTGGGCGGAAGCCGATGAATGGCGACCACATCACTTTCTGCGAGTGGCGGGAACTGGTGTTTAATTGCCATTGCATTGATCGCTTCTAGCAAGTTTTCATCTTCCGTTTCCTGTATTCCATGGAATTCTAGGTTGAGTCTGCGGCTCCTCCACTCAAGATTATCTACTTCTGCCTGCACTTCAGCTACTTCTCGGTCCCGCATCTCAACCTTTTCCAACCTGCGCTTAAGGTCCTTGACGTCACGCTCGTTTTGTTCCGTTTTTTTAGTATTTCGTCGTATTTCTCACTCAAGTATTGCACCGCGTCGTCAATGCTCTCAACTGTCTCTTTGAGCAGTACTAGTTTATCCAGCTTGTCGTTAATAGCTTTCATCCAAATTCGGACATCTTGCATGTCGGCCTCACTGCCCGGTTCTTTTAATTCAGCTGATGCTGCTCGGAAACTCGACCGTCTACAGGTAGGGCAGCGCCATGCATCGCAGTATGCCTGCCCTTTGGACTTGATAGTTGCTTCAGAAATTCCAGCACATTTGCCGGCGTGAAATGCTTGACAGCAGTCGCTACATTCAATCCATACGACGTCCCCAGTGAACGGCTTATCGCACACAGATCATGTTCCATCTCGGGGCATAGTTGCACAAAGCGACAAATGAGAAACAGTAGTTTACACAGCAGCACCAGCAGTAGCAGCAGTAGTTGCGGCACAACCAAATTTACAGCGGGCATAGAAACAGCACCAACCTGCGAAACAGAAGAAGAGACCGTGTTCGTTTACGCCGTTCTTTCCGCCGCAACCGCTGCTGCCAAGTGGTCTCGGTGATGGCTTGGTCCTCCCTTTAAGAAGCCCAGTGGCTGTACGGCGCAGGTGCGGTAGAATTCATCGCAGGGTAGTTGGGCGCAGGCGCAGCGGAGCTTGTTACTTCTCCTTCGCACCGACGGCGATGTGCATATGGATGACGAAAAAAAAGTATTGTTCCTAAAAAAAGCCTAGTATTGTTCCGAGTTCCAGGGCAAACATGTCACGAGTGCCTACGCATAAGCGGGAAGAAGTCGTTCAATTATCACTGAAAGGTTACTCGCAGCAGAACATTGCTACCTTTACAGGCTGTAATGTCAGCCCTGTCAACAGGATAGTCCAAGAGTATGAAGTATACGAATTAAGGATGCGTCGCACAAAAGGCGACCTGGTGCCACGTCGTCGGACCAAGATCTGCGAGTTGTTGCTGTAGTCAGCGAGAAGCCACCTTCAAGTGCGAAAGATGTGCGCCGTACTCTAGACCTTGCGAATATAAGTGATAGCACAACACTGCGAAGACTAAGAGAAGCTGCACTCTGAAGTCGCATCGCCGCTCAAAAGCCCCTTCTCGCATGTGCCAACAAAACGGCTCGCCTTATGTTCGTGGTCGATTACCGCAGCTGGACAGGGGAGGACTAGAAATATGTCGTCTTCTCCGACGAATAAACTTTCTCCCGCCGCTGGGATCCGCAGACAAGAATGTGGCGTATGGAGAACACGCGCTTCTGTCCGCAGAACATCAAGGAAGTAGCTACAAGTGGTCGCACATCGGTTAACGTTTGAGCAGCTATCTTGCGTGACGGCATAGGTCCCCTTACGAGAATCTCCGGGAGATTCACAAGTGATGCGTATTGTACGCTGCTGGAGCACGAGATGATTCCATATGTATTGAATGGCCCACACCCGTACGGATGCTATTTATTCCAGCAGGACTTGCCTCCCGTGCATACAGCAAAGGACGTCGCACGCCTTCTAGATGAGCGAGGGGTAATGCGCCTTGAGTGGTGCGCGAAGGGTACGGACATAAACATTATTGAACACGTGTGGAAACGTATGAATTCTAACCTTTCTATAGGCTTTCTTTGGACTTGTGACAGCTGATTAACTGTGGGAGGCTCTACAAGAAGAGTGGAAACATATTCAAGCTGAGACAACCTTCATCGAAGCTTTCTACATGTCTCTGCCAGAAAGAATGGAAGCATGATTCAAGCCGGTGAAGCCATGATCCGTTATAAGCCCAGTAAACACGTGTGAAAAGGGCGAGCTATATGATAAATTGTGCGCACAAAATTTTTTACAATATTGGGGGCATCCAATGAATGTTTTCAACCAACTACAGCGTGCGACTTTTCTCGGACCACGAGACCAGCAAACTGCACAATAGTCATAAACAACAATACTGTTTTGTTTTTCTACGCTGAGACGTTCTCCGCTAGAAAGTAAAGGGATACAGGGATGTTTGGCGCCGAACCCTTGGCAACAGATTACGACGTTCTGCACGCTTTAATATCTTATTGCTAGCGGCCGATGTCCCGTAATGAGCTACCGTTTCAAAGCAACGCCCGCCAGAGAAGCGGGAGTGAAAACAGTTCATGGAAGAGTACCCCTCTTTTCCCCGCCGGTTTCGGCAGCGCCATATACGTACGACGCTATCTCCGTTTTGAAGCTCTTTGCCACACACTCGCGCGTTCAAGCTCATATTGCTCACAATAGTACCTGGAACAAAAGCCACTTATCCGTCTGAGTTGTTCGGCCATGAGCCGTTGGGCAGTGGTTGCATAGTCGGAAAGAACGGAAGAACGGCGCTTGCTGTGGAGTCATCCGGTGAACAAAAAGAACAACAACAAAATGACGTAGCACCGACAGGTGCGTAGGTGCGGCACACCGAGCTCGTGCCCCCCACCCCCTTCCCCGAAAGCTTTTTATCAGCATGGCATAGAGAGCGAAAAATGACCATTTCAAGGTGGTGCCCCTCCTAAAAAAGTTAAAAAGATCCTCCTCCCCCCCCCCCCCCCCCCCCCCCAAAAAAAAAGTCTCTGGCTAGGCGCCTGAGCACCGACTGTCATAGGGGGGTTTCGTTGCGCTTACCACGCAACACATCCCCACATGTCTCTGCTGCTCAGCGGCATCTCCGGTTTCACGCAGCGCACACAAACTCAAGGAAGCAAATGGCGAGCCAAGTTCGCAACCACCGCGAGGAAAAAGCGCGCCGTGTGCAGCTTCGGCGATTCGGCGCACCGCTCCGCACGCGTCGCGAATGCTCTGCGCCCGCAGTGGCACCTTAGCACCGTCTGCACTTCACCGCAGCCGCACTATATAAGCGATAAGAAAAAAACATCCTCGTAGCCGCGGACCTTCACCAGCTTTCACCAATGCTTTTATTGTTTCTTTTTTTTCCGTGGGAGAAGCGGTTAGGGTGTTTCCGCAGAAGTTATTGCGTTCTTCGTAGGTTACTACGGACAAGTTACACTGCGCTTTTCGCGCTGCTAACCTCTGCATTGCGAGCGACATGGGTTTTGCAACTTCGATACATCACAAAATAAATAACACATAAAATAAACCCCTTTGTGACTTTTATTTTATGAGTTACGCCCAAAAGTTAAATTATAGGTATTATACATACATACGCCGGTGGCTGCATGGTGCTTGGTTGGAGCGGCGAGCTGCAGAGCGATTGTCCCCGGAGGCCCACTTCGCAATTTGTTAATGTGGAGCATTTCTGAGAGAACCAAACACACTTCGAGCGTTTCTATCAAGGTTACCTGTCTGTCGATCTACCTAGCCGCCTACGTCTGGGTGCTCTCGTGATCGCCTCCTTGACGTGGTGTTGACCAAAACGGCCATTGGATGGCAAGAGGGTATTACGAATATGACTGTCTAGTCATTACCTAAATAACACGAAAATTCTGTCACATACGTCATCAAACCTATCAGCCAGAAATACCAAGAAAATTGTCTGGTGCCTTTAACCTACTGGGTCGCGCAACACGTGACACTCATACTGCAGTGCTTTTCAGACTTCGGCACATCGTGTTTCTCAGGTCTCGCTCTCGGGCTCTCCTGGGGCACAGAAGTGCCAAGTAAGAGCTTCGGTACTGCCTGTTCATGACTGCGTACACGACGGGATTTATGCAGCAGGACATCCAGGACAGAATGGAAGCCGTCACGTGGACCCACGGCGTTCTGAAACGGACATATATTGTCAGACAACCTAAGGACACCTGCTCACCACGACATCTGTCGATTTAACATCAAGAGTGAATGGCGCCCTCTCGTCATATAGGTACAGATGTTAACGAAATTCAGCCAAAACGAATAATGATTGATATATGGGGTTTAACGTCCTAAAACCACTATATGATTATAAGAGACGCCGTAGTGGAGGGCTCCGGAAATTTAGACCACCTGGGGTTCTTTAACGTGCACCCAAATATGAGCACACGGGCCTACAACATTTACGCCTCCATCGGAAATGCAGCCGCCACAGCCGGCATTTGAACCCGCACCCTGCGGGTCAGCAGCCGAGTACCTTAGCCACTAGACCACCGCGGCAGGGCAGCCAAAACGAATAAATGAAGTATACTGAATCTGAGGCTGAGTCCAAGCTGCTTCGTATAAAACCGGTAAGGGCACCAAGACGGAGCGCTCTTTGTGTCATCGTGTTCACGTCTTTGGGCAAATACCAAAACAACAACAACAACAAAACAATGTCTATGAGGCACTAGATATGTATATTACGTATACGTATGGTATATGGTAGCATTGCTTGCCAAACCACAGTCACTTCTACCGTCACGTGATCGCGTCATTGCACGAAATTGTACCTTTCTGGCCCGCCACCTTTTGAAAAAAAAAAAAAGTCCAAAAAGGTTCCGGCTTCCAATCGTCTAAGGTGAGTACATAAGGGAGTCTGTCAATTCTTACCATGTGTGCGAAAGTATACACAGAAGAAAAACAAATGTCATAAAAGATCCCGCAAACTCCGGTCCACCGCACGTTTCTTTCATCTTTAGACATGTTTTCTGATTTCTCATCTATCTATCTATCTATCTATCTATCTATCTATCTATCTATCTATCTATCTATCTATCTATCTATCTATCTATCTATCTATCTATCTATCTGTCTATCTATCTATCTATCTATCTATCTATCTATCTATCTATCTATCTATCTATCTATCTATCTATCTAAAAAGTGGCTTTTTTTCCAAGAGCGCACGTATATCTAGGATACAAAAATATCATTTAATCACCACGTTGTTACTCACGTAATCTGCGCCTCTAGAAGGTTGGCCACGAGCAGCGGCAGGAAGCAGAGCAGGAAGAGCGCGAAGATGATGGTCATCAGCCTCGTGACTCGCATCTCTTCCTCCCTGTGGCGCGAAGATGGGCTTCGCATCCTCGTCATGCCGCTGTAGGATGCAAGCCTGCGCGAACTGTGCTGAATCTGCACAACACAAAGGGTCTACTTATTAAAGTGACCGCAAAATATTTCAACTATGTCCATTTTTTACAGTCTTCTATAGTGCGTAAAGGTGCTCCAGAATTCGGAAGCTGATTGGCGTATCACGCTATAAGCACTGTATACGAGCCCACGTTGTCTTTAGGGGGCGAGAAGCCCGGCCACGTTCCACGTTAATCTGAACATGAAATATTTAGAAGCTAGAAAGCTGCCGGCGTAACTATCGAAAGCCCTAACACGAGATGGATATTACACACACACACAAAAAAACCCCTGACGCCAATTTTATATGACGAGAAAAATAGCGAGTTAAGCTTTTGACACTTGTGAAGTATATAGGACTACAGGCAATGTTGTCACGTGATCGTGACGTTGACGACGGCAGCGTTCGTCGTGATCGCGACGAAACTCTTTACTTGGTCGAAGTTATCATGTGCCACAGAAACTGACAAGCCCCATGTTCACAAACTCAACGTCGCGGAGGTTAATGAAACAGCAAGACGTTCTCCATCGTTTCGTCCTGCCTTGTTTTAATTAAAATTCAGGATCCAATGCTAGCCGTTCACGTGTTGTTGTATTCCTATTCTGTTTCCACCTGCTCTTGTTGAGCGTCGCGTGCGCTGTCCAGACGCTTATCTAGGAAAGCGGCTCGAACCCCTCGGCACTGAGAGCTTGAGACCGGGAGACCGCGCCCCACCTCCGCCAACAGTTCCTCGGCAGGGCAACCTTTGCCCGCGGCGTTGACGGAAGAGGAGCAGTGCGTCACTCCGTGTGTGTTGTGCTTGTGAGAGAGGTGTGCGGTTACGCCGACAGGAGAGAACGGACTGCACGCATGCGCGTTTAAACAGTCGCTCACACGATCTGGTAGGGAGCAAACGTGTGTCCTTACGCAGAGATGTTTAGTGCGATTCGTTTCATCTCTAAGAATAGGAGGAGGGGGAGGAATAAAATTTACTATAAGAAACCAGCAGGTTTAGGTGGCTGGGCCTAGGCCTCCCATGAGGGTACGTCAAGGGCTTGTCTCGACGCCACCTCATGGGCGTGCTCGGTCACCCAGGTTTGGTCGTTGAGAGCGGGGCTCCGCAGAGCCTCATGGAGCTTCGACGAAAGGGTCGCGGCGTTAGTGTGTCTGTACTGTGCCGGGCACTCCCACAGCAAGTGCGGAAGCGTAGCCGGGTGAGTGCCGCAGCGCCGGCAGTGGGACACCAGGGACAACCTGACTACCTGCAATGATCTGGTTAAGAACTTTTACCTCAGACTCCGAGCCTTTCTCACCCCCCCCTCACCCCAAGCTCAACCGGGCACAGGCCACCACTTTGCGTCTACTTCAAACAAACACGTATCCCTCACCTGTCCGCTTTCACCTCATATTCCCGGACGTGTACACAACCTCTAAGAATAGAATTTTTTTTTAATTCTAACCTAATTTGAATCTTGTCCTTCTTGAACTTTTTCACATCTGTAACGTCGGCTTCTCTCTTTAGAAGCTCCTGCGAGCTTGTGCTTAAGAACGACGTCTTCATTTCTGCCCACGCGTATATTCCTGTTGACGATCCCGATAGACACATTGTTCTTGCGAAGAGCGCACACTTTATCCATCGTCGAACATTGGAAAGACCACCGGCTTTCTGGATCATATCGGTCTGCCGTAAATCCAATGCCGATTCCACTTTTACTGCATAGCACGCGTGAAGTTCAGGTTAGTTGTAGACAACTTCTAATTTCTAGTGGACCGAAGGAGAGTAGTAGTGCTTGCCCAATTTATGTGGAATACACATTCACTAAACTAGTAATTGATAAATTCTTCGTTTTTAGTGAACCGGATATAGATGGCCGTCATGAATCGCGGTGTCCTAAGCGACTCTTAGAGCGCCATTAAAAGCTTTGCGAGAAGTGTGCCAGTAAGTAGAGCCAAGGTCCTGAGCAATTTCAATCTGAACGACAAAACCAAAATTAATCTGGCCTAGGTCTCAGCTCACTTGGGAAACTTCGGTAACAAACAAGCGCATAAAGTGGACCGAGAATTAACCGGGTAACGCTTTTCTTGAACCCTCCCCCTCTCCTCCTCTCCTGAGGGAGAGGTAGGGACGTCCTACAACGAACTTTCGCATACGTGCAAATATGACAGGAGATTATACCCCATACCACGTACTGCAATCTCACGAACACGCAGGCCATTATCCACCACCAAATTCAGTCAGACAGCTTTACCGCTCCCCATCGCTTAGCGATCTCCACAGGCCGGGTAGGTTGACTCAGTATGCGAGCATCGCAATTGAAAATATCATAACTAACCAAGATCGCATCGACTGGGATAACGAAGACCTTCCCCCACCCTAAAAGTTTCAGCCAGTTCCCTTAGAAACGACATGCAAACACTAATACGATCCCTCGATGAAAAACTGCGAAGATCAGTCATGGCCTGGGTGGAAGAGACCGCTGTAGACAAGCGGCCGCCTCCAAATACTGTAATTTACTTTTAACAAAGTTGTATCCTCGCACTCCTCTTTAGGCGAGTAGTGGGACGATTGCCCAATTTCTGTGACACATATGTCCGTCAGGCTAGTTGTATACATATATCTTCCTCATACTTAGTGGACCGCATCCGAGAGGAGTTTGAAATAATGTAATAATGGACTTGTTCACGGCGATAGGTGGTGAATCTTGTGGCACACAAGAAATACCCAGACAAACGAAGTCGCAGCAGGAAGATGCGATTCGTTCTGTCTCATTTTTGGTGCGGCCGTTTACCTTGTAGTATATGCGTCCGTACGAGGCTATGATTCCCATGCACGGTATCAGGAATGCCAAGGCAAACAGGAATCTCTTTGGTGAACGGCCATCTTTGCTCAGGATGGTGCACGAGAAGGTCGGCCTGTGCAGACCGAAGCGACCCCACCAGCCGAGGAGCACGGGAACCAGCAGGCCGAAACCGACCAGCCAGCATGAAACGACCGCCATTAGGGTGCGGCTTCCGGAGAACAGACGGTCGTGCCGAAGGCGCGAGTCTACCAGCACAGCCCTGAAAGTCACAAAGGTATCAGAGGACACCTTTTGGTTCACGCCCAATGGTGAACTGTTGACAGAGAGAGAGAAAAGTATCAGAACACTACACGAGGTAGGGTTCCTGCAATAATACGAAAAGACGGGCAAGTTGGTTTTGCTGCATTCTGACGTTTTAGCGCTACAGCACCAGGATGTAAGGTTCCTTGTTTTATTGACCGTATACAGGGTCTTTCTGTAAGTGTGTCCAAGATTCTTCAGCATCATCGGTAAATTGTGATATGTGCTCACTGCCTTCACGCTTGCTTCTTCTACAGCTGCGGACAACCTAAAATGTTAAAAGAAACCGTATAGGACGCTAAATAGTCAGGTAATTATCTTTCCAATTAATAGAGTTATAGGTAGCAATGTCAAATGGGAGAATTGAAGTCCTTCCCGCGAAGAACTAATCACAGCTTTCAGGTATAGAAATAGTGACCTCTGGTAATTGTTGGAGCGTAATGAGATTCACCCAATTCATACGATGAAACCTAAACCGATGCACTTCTGAGCGCTACAACCAGACCACCTGAATGACGTCGATCTTTGGGACAACGACTGCAATCGCAGCCCGCATACGGCAGAACGAAGTCGTTGATACAACGACACCCACTGATTGTGGACGCCTCATAATAATACGACAACTGCGTTTTTTCGCGCTTCAGTTTCGGTTGCATCACTGAATTTCGGTGAAAATTATTACTTCGCGATCACTACTAGAAACCACTTCTTCGAAATCCCAAAGCTGCTACGGGTTCTTCGCATGTAGGATTAAAATGTCTCTTTTGACACAACCGCCTAACTTCTACTAATTAAAACGTTAATTAGTTTAATGCCCTTAATTATTGTCTCAAATTAGTCATTGGGTATCTTAGGGTGCCCACGTTTACAGAACAAGCGATTGTGAAGGCACCAAACAAATGTCAGATTTCACTATTTTTTAAAAAGATTTTAGACATTTCTCGAAACACCCAATACATCGTTATGTGCTGTTTTTCTAAGTGAAGAAGAAGAGGACTGGTTTAATTGGTTTCACCGAGGCTGTGCCGGCGGGCTCGTTATCGACCTGATGGAATGACCAAGAAGATGTCCGCTACGAAGTTACCAGGCGTGCTTCGGATATATCCAGCACCTTCACCAAAAAAGCTATAGGGAGACGTCGGAAGAACGAGGAAAAAAGCTATAAGACACACCGGTACATGAGACAGGTACATGGTATGCACAACCACGGTGACAACAGGAACTGACGCGTCCTCCTTTTCTTCGTTCTCTAGATAAGCGGCACACAACAATGTTGTAGTGAACGAATTCGCTTATTAATTCAAGCTGACAACGATGGAGTCGCATGCGCGCAGTCATGCAAAAGCAAGTCGCACTTGGCGATCGCGCGAACACTTGCCACTAAAGCGGTAAAGTGACAAACAGCGCCGACGTAGGTGAGCACGTGATTTACCTCATGCTTTACAGCATGTCCCCAAAACTTTGTGCTAATGCGACCTTGAACACTGAGCGCCCAGGCAGTTACCAGCCGTAACGGTTCACTCAGCCTTTGCAAGGCCGCGCATGTAGCCTGCATACAAAGTAGGGGGCAGGTACGGTATATAGCTCTCCGCCAGTGCAGCGGCCCCAGCCGGGCTGAATAGAAAGCACTCTCAAGTGTTTTATTCTGTCCAAAAGATGCCTCCTAGCGACGGAAAAATTCTTAAACACGGGATGTCCCAGCTGGAGCCAACGTTTCAGCAAACGCTCTTCAAGGTAGCAACTTCGGTCGTAAGTTGGCTCCAACAACGCTCCCAGCTGTACAAGAACTTTTCTATTTCTACAAGCCTGCATCTTTGCCTGAATTTCCGCCTTGTTCGAATTCCCTTCATCCCGCTACGGCACACATCTATCGACACCCCCAACTCCATGCATGTCTGGGCTCAGGAATGCAAACCATACATCGAGCCCTCCTCGCTTCACCTTCAGGCTCCCCCTTTGTCATTTGTGTTTCTGATCCCTTTCCTTGAGTAGAGTTTCACGTAGGCTTTAATAAAACTAGTGACACAACCCGACTTTTTTTCTCCAACAAGTAATACTCTCTGCAGGCGTAGCCCACCTGCTAACCGAGATGCCCGTCATCGAAAATATGGAGGTAGCCACGTTGCCGTAGAAGAAGAAGCCAAACACGACGCACATGTCGTCGCCGAACATCCAGCAGCGTCGGAAGTAGCGCGTGGCCGTCAGCGGCAGGTTGATGGCGCAGAACAGCAAGTCGGCAAGGCAAAGGCTCAGCACGAACGCCGTGGTCGGGCCGCGCAGCCGCCGGCTGCGGCCCAGCGACACCAGCGTGAGCAGGTTGCCCGGTACGCCCAAGATCACGAACAGAACGCAACAGGCACCCGCCACGTAGGACAGGTCGCGGGGGTACGAGGCGTCGACGTCCGCCTTGCACGTCCCCGGCGCCGTTGCATTCGAATAGGCGTTCTCCTTTGAAAGTCAAAGCGACAAATGCAGAATTTTAGACATCTCCAAAGTAGAGATGGAAGGGGGAGAACGAGATACTGGAAGGAGAAAGATAGAGCAAGAAGGCAAGGACATAAACCGGAAGTGGCTTCTGTGATGTTTAACTCCAACTCAAGGAGGTTTAAATGAATTATGCTGGAGTGGAGGCCGCCTATACATACCAATGGGGTGCAGTGAAGCCGTGGGAAAGGAAAATAGAGTGGGAAAGGGAATTCCCTTCCGGCGTGCTTGCGTGCTGAGCTGAAAGAAAGTCTGACAATGGGCTAGTTGGTTAAACACGACGAACCTTCTTCGCGCAAACCACAAGTAGAAAGACACGTGCAGAACTCTCATCAGAGCCATCTATAATCTCTTTAATGCGGTTATGAACATGCGGAATACACTGAAACCGAACACATGCGCAGAGGAGATGTCCTAGTTAACAGTGCTAAAGGGGCTTATCAACGAGGCTAATAATAGTAATATGTTGGTTTTTACGTGCCAAAATGACGATATCATTATGGCTCCGGAAATTTCGACAATTTGATGTCCGATAAAGCGCACTTACAACGCACAGTACATGGGCCCCTGTCATTTTGCCTCCACCGAAATGCCACACGCACCGCGGCCGGAATTGAAGTCCGCGACCTTCGGATCAGCAGTGGAGCACCAGAATCACTGACCCACCACGGCGGACGATCGAAGAGGCCAGATGGAGTCGGCAGCTACATCTCTGCGTACGCGTGTAATCTCTGTATCTATTCATTGTTCATCACCGCATTAAACAGTTGATAGCTTACGCTTATGTGTTCTGCATGTGTCTTTCTTCTGCAGTGTGCACCTTCTTTTTGTAGCTTCCGCGAGGAAATTTGTTCCTCAGCCGTAAATAACTGCCATACTGTACTCATGCATTGCATGACTAAAGTCAGCTTCCAGTGGCATCATGAATTACAGTTCAATTTGTTTACGACAGCCGCAGATTTGTTGTTTTACTTTCTCATTCTCTTGCTGTCTTCTTCTCTACCCCCAGTTTAACGTATAACTCATCTGGTACATCTTGTAATTGAATAATGTATCTGCCTTTCGAGAGCGTCGTCCATTTCTCGTTCTCCATCTACGGAGATTTCTGTATGTTAGGGTATATATATATATATCGCGCTTAATGTAACAGATCACTGCGTATATTACCAACGACACAAACACACACACACACACACACACACACACGCACACACACACACACACACACACACACACAAAACATTGACTTCGATGTTATATGTGAGGTCTTCGAGGAGAGAAAAATAAAGGGAAAACAGGGAGAACAGGGATAGTAACCAGAGGAAGACTCCGATTTACTACCTTCTACTTGGAAAGGATAAAAGAGGTGTAAAAGAATGAAAGAAAAAAAAGAACAGTTCTTGACAGTACGAAAAAAAATGTAGCGACGGGAGTAATATCTCAGTATTAGGCAGCAACACTGTCCGCGAACAGTCACACTTTGTTTCTATACCCTCTTGGCTCCATGCTCACAACTCTTGGCCCCTTCGAACTTTTGGGAGTAGTTGTACGTGGGCAGCACGCATTTCTCTATATTATAGGGGCACAGCTCCTTAACGCGTGGGTCTGTACTTACCATGGGGTTTGTTGGTGATGTACGTAGCAACCGGTGGCACATACCCGCTCTAGAGCGGGTATGTGCCATAGGGGATGCGAAATGGGAGATGGTGGTACTTGGAGTGCTCACTAGATGTACCCACGGACGGACAGAAAGACTAGCAGACTGATAGACGGATGGGCGGACGTACGGACGGATGGACGCACGAACGGACAGACAGAGAGATGGACGGACGGATGGACGCATTGGTGGTCGCGCGGAAGGACGGAAGCCCGGAATGACTGACGGACACTTTGCCCCACTCTGCATCCAGCATATTCAGCATCCCCAATCATCACAGCATATTCACTCCGTGAATATGTTGTGATTTTTTTTTCTCATCCATTTCTATAGGTTTTGGAGTTGATAAAACGTACCCGACTCATTCTTATTTTTCTTTATGAAAACTAATCTGGCGTTGCTCCGCGTTACGCAGCGACAAGGAAAATACTCTTGAAGAACTAAGGAACGCATCTTTGCGCAGTCCTACATTAGAGGGACGATTGTGGGCAGTACAACGGGTACGTGAAGCGGCTAAAAGGCTAGGTCATTCGGTTGCAACGTGGGAGCACGGCCCGCTTCGGGCTAGGACACTAGAGCGACCTATTCATTAATAAATTCCATTCATTCATTTAAACAGAGTTCTGAGCCGCGAAGGTAAATCCACAATCACACGTTGATCAGAGTAAGTGCCCATTGTATGCCCACTCCTGTACCTTTAACTTCGTACTAATCGCTGTTTCTCGTGTGGAAACATTGATGGTAGCGGAACAATGTGACTGGCCGATCATTTCCGGGCGCGTCTTTTAGGTGGTGGTATTGACTTCATTTAGCCAAAAAATCAATTGTCCGGCGCCTCAGGCTAGCTTCTCGATGGAACCCACATTTTCGGCTCTGGAAAAGATAGTCAGTTCATCCCATGCCGATTTCGAGGAAGCTGGCAGATACGGGAAAGGTGAAATTCCGACATCCTCACAAAATGTGATCTTGGGTAGCTGGTTGGTTTCAACTACAACTTGAACAGTTCGTATTGAATGGTATAGAACCGTTCGTGATAGTCGATAGTCTGTGAGGACCAGTGAAAATTTTTGGTTCCTGCTCCAGCGGCTATACATTTCAAGAGAGCCTGATATTTTCCTGGCGCGCGGATGAGACCGTCGTACGGTACTATATCGAGACACTTCAATCAAGCAACCAGCTGATCTACAAAATCATTTTTTTTTCAATCACTAAGTCAATGAACAACATATAAACTTCTTACCATTTCATCGGGTTCCTTTGATAAGACGTCCCCGAGGCGCGGGTTTTTGCAGCTGAGCAAGCCTCCTCGCGTTGACGCCGTACATGACGAACAAACGGGTTGCTCGAAATGCGAGCAGAGTCGAATGCCCCGCCGACGGCCGCTTTCATAAACTCAAATAACCTTCCCGGTAACATGAATACGTTTGCTCTGATTCACGCCTACATTTTTGCGGATAGCCACAATGCATACGCACAGGCGTTTCACCGACATCCATCGGTGGCATATACGACATTTCCGGCACTGCTCATACGAGTTTGAACCGAACACCGTACATAGACTCGTGTAAGACCCCCCCCCCCTTTTTTTTTTGAAAACTTGGTCGAGTGACGACACTTACACGTGACCGAACCTATTGGTGAACTTAATCGACGTAGCGCGTTTTGAAACATAGGACAAGGGAAAGGACAAAAGGGAGCGCTTACTTCCAACAAATCTTTATTTCGAGGAGCGTACATATATATGCTCATGAAATTCGAAAACAACAGACAAACAGATGAAAAACCCTCCAATGCCATGCGCTAAAAACTTATGATCTCAAAAAACAAAAATTCTTTTTCACAAAGACCGAGAGAAGGATTGCTGACGCAGTTTAGCCCTAATCTACTGATCCTTTCTGCTTCAATAATCTCCCTTGTCACTTTATTTCTGTTTTTTCCTTTGATTACCGTACCATGAAAAAGTGGTTTGCAGCCACACGTGCTGCAATTTAGTGCCAAAAAACCATCTCGACCAATTTTTACGTTGCAAGGGTGTTCGCGGAGCCGGTCATTAATACATCTGCCAGTTTGTTCTATGTAGTGTTTACCGCATGAAAGAGGTATCTGATAGATTACAAATTGCGCGCATGTGACAAACAGTGTTAAGTGCTTTTTAGAGCATCCCGGTTTTGCATGTGAAACAACTTTCATACACAAGTACGAGAGCTTTTTCGGGGCAGAAAACACCACCTTTACATTGGCCTGCTCTCCAACCTTTTTAAAGTTGTGGGAGATTCCATGCAGATAAGGCACTACGGCCAGCTTCTGACGTCTCACTGGCTCAACATGAGGGAGAGCTGGATGCAAGGACTGAAGCTTCTTGATCAGAATTCCCGCGACGGAAACCTGTACGTGAGAGGGGTAGCCAGCGTCCAGAAGCCATTCTGCTTGTTCCTTGAAACTAGCTGCTATCAGATGTGGACAAGACTTCTGGAAGGCGTTACTAAAGCACATGTTTACAATGCCTCGTTTTACGAGCTTAGTATGGCCGGAATGGTACGGAAGCAAGGGTTTGTTACTCCTCGGTTTGTACATCCAACAAATGTGGTCAGGGTGAAACGTGAGAGCGATATCTAAAAATCTGAGAGTGTTATTAACAGGCAACTCATGGGTTAAAACAAGGGGACTAAACCGCTCCTTGATGAAGTTGAGGATATCTAGGGCACAAAAAATGGGATCACAGTCAAGAAGAATGAGGAAGTCGTCAACAAATCTAAAGATGCGCATGATTCGGTTGTCACTAAGGTCACCGGAAACAGTTCTGTCGAGCTTGGCTAAAAACAAATTACTTAAGATTGGAGCAATACATGATCCAATACAAATGCCCTCCTTTTGAAGGTGGGGCTTCCCATTCCATTGAATAAAAGTAGATTGCAAATAAAAAGACAAATGTTCTAAAAAGCTACTAGACGGTATACCAGCACTATTCTGAAATGTTATGCTACCAAGCTTGTCAATGCTCTCTTCTACACAACTAAGAATCGATTTGTGAGGCAACGAATAGTACAGATCTTTTACATCAATGGAAAAACCACACCTGTGCTGATTCGAACGGGATCGGACGAAATCAAGAACTTGTTGGGAATTTTTCACGAGAAATGGGTCATCTACTGTTAATACACCAAGCTTACTTTGTAAAAACAACGCAACATTTTTTTTGCCACGTGCCATTTTCTGAAACGATAACACGAAATGGTTTTTCAGGCTTATGTGTTTTCGCACTGAAGAATACCTCAAGACAATCTTTTTTGCTATTTGCTATGTCACTAACAAGTTTACTGAGGTCGAGCTTTTCACACATCTTTTTTGCCTGAGACTTGGACTTTAGAAAGAATAACACTGTCGTAACAGTTGAAAACAGATGAAACAGCTTCACTTGCTTAAGAACTGAAAAGCTTGTAAGACAGAACGGCAAACCCTCCTTCCTTGTCGGCTGGAAGTACGGCGAGGGCGTTGTTCCTAAGGTAGGCCTCCACTTTTCTCAGCGGCAACCTGGAAGAGTGTTGCTTTGAACGACGGAGCACATCAACACCTACTGACACACAACGGTCATGTTCCGAGTCAATTGCCTTCCCAGAAATTTGGCGGACCAAGGAGAGCCTCTCAGGAGCGGAAAGCCTTGGCTCTACCGCAAACTTTGGTCCTATAGTGACAGGGTTTTCGACACACCCGGGGGCAACTGCAACGTCTCCAGCTTGTGAACGCTACTCATGCCTTTTTCATCCCGTATTGGTGCCGGTCTAGCCTGACTTCGCAGACGAGCCAGATCACAGACCCAAATGGCCTTTGTTGTTTGATGAATGTTGCGCTGAAGTTCATGAAGCTGTCTTCTTCGCTTGGCATCATCTCTGCTATTCAGAATTTGAAGCGAAAACCACTGCCAAAGCAGTCGCACTTGCCTTCTGAACTCAGTCCTCAGAATCTTGCACACTCTCATGCCATGCCCGACGGAAGGGGTGAACCCACCAAAGTGTATCTGAACTTCTTCAGGGAGAATTTTCTTCCGCATACAGAACGTAAGTCTTCGCGCACGGCAAGTGGTGTGGGCTATCAACGCAGCCGTTATAGACGGAGTAGGAAGAGAACACACAAAAGGGCCCGCTGCGTTGATAGCCCACACCACTTGCCGTGCGCGAAGACTTACGTTCTGCATGCGGAAGAAAATTCTCCCTGAAGAAGTTCAGATACTCTTTGGTGGGATCACCCCTTCCGTCAGACATGGCATGAGAGTGTGCAAGATTCTGAGGACTGAGTTCAGAAGGCAAGTGCGACTGCTTTGGCAGTGGTTTTCGCTTCAAATTCTGAATAGCAGAGATGATGCCAAGCGAAGAAGACAGCTTCATGAACTTCAGCGCAACATTCATCAAACTACAGAGGTCATTTGGGTCTGTGATCTGGCTCGTCTGCGAAGTCAGGCTAGACCGGCACCAAGACGGGATGAAAAAGGCATGAGTAGCGTTCACAAGCTGGAGCCGTTGCAGTTGCCCTCGGAAGTGTCGAAAACCCTGTCACTATAGGACCAAAGTTTGCGGTAGAGCCAAGGCTTTCTGCTCCTGAGAGGCTCTCCTTGGTCCGCCAAATTTCTGGGAAGGCAATTCACTCGGAACATGACCGTTGTGTGTCAGCAGGTGTTGATGTGCTCCGTCGTTCAAAGCAACACTCTTCCAGGTTGCCGCTGAGAAAAGTGGAGGCCTACCTTAGGAACAACGCCCTCGCCGTACTTCCAGCCGACAAGGAAGGAGGGTTTGCCGTTCTGTTTTACGAGCTTTTCAGTTCTAAAGCAAGTGAAGCTGTTTCATCTGTTTTCAACTGTTACGACAGTGTTGTTCTTTCTAAAGTCAAGTCTCAGGCAAAAAAGATGTGTGAAAAGCTCGACCTCAGTAAACTTGTTAGTGACATAGCAAATAGCAAAAAAGATTGTC